AACATTTTCTTTATGAACTATGCTATGCCAATTGACCTAGATGTCCCCTGAGACTATGGTCACCAGCCCTTAGCCCCAGTAACTCGGTCCGTTAAGGTGTTCGGATGTGTCTAGGAAGCTTCTATGACTTTGCTTTGTGCTGACTTTGTGCTGACTTTCCCTGTATTGTGTGTTGTCTTTCCCTTCAACAAAGTTAACACTTGTCTACCATCTAGTTAGTGATTTCCCCTCCCCACTTCGCCTCTCCCTTGTAACTATCAAAGTGTTTTTTCTGTGTGTAAACCTTTTCTTGAGTTTTTGTAATAGTGATCTCATACAATATTTATCCTTTTGTGATTGACTTATTTCACTCAGCATAATGCCCTCCTCATTCTTCCATGTTGTAACATGTTTCATGGATTCATCATTGTTCTTTATTGTTGTGTAGTATTCCATTGGGTGCATGTACCATAAGTTGTTTATCCATTCATCTGTTGATGGGCACTTAGGTTGTTTGCATCTTTCTGCTCTTCTGAATAATGCTGCAGTGAACATGGGTATACGTGTGTCTGTTCGTTTGACGGCTTACATCTCTAGGATATATTCCTAGGAGTGGGATTTCTGGATCACGTGGTATTTCTATTTCTAGCTTTTTAAGGAGGCACCATATCTTTTTCCATAGTGGTTGTCCCATTTTACATTCCCACCAGAAGTGCATGAGAGTTCCCATCTCCCTGAAACCTCCCCAACATTTGTTATTTTCTGTTTTTTTTGATTAGTGCCAGTACTGTTGGGGGTGAGATGGTATCTCATTGTAATTTTGATTTGCAGTTCTCTAATGGCTAATGATCTTGAGCATTTCCTCATGTGTCTGTTAGCCATCTGAATGTCTTCTTTGGTGAAGTGTCTGTTCTATCCCTTTGCCTGTTTTTAAATTGGATTATTTGTCTTTTTGTTGTTCAGGTGTTGAAGTATTTTGGATATTTTAGAGATTAGACCCTTGTCGGATGTTGTAGCCAAAAAATTTTCCCCAGTCTATAGGTTCTCTTTTTACTCTTTTGGTGAAGTCTAAATGAGCATAAGTGTTTAATATTCAGGAACTCCCAGTTGTCTAGTTTATCTTCTGGTTATGCATTGTTAGTTATGGTTTGTATTCTATTTATGCCATAGATTAGGGCCCTTTGTGTTGTCCCTAATTTTTTTTCTTCCATGATCTTTGTCGTTGTAGGTTTTATAGTTAGGTCTTGGATCCATTTCGAGTTAGTTTTTATGTATGGTGTGAGGTATGGGTCCTGTTTCATTTTTTTTTTTTAACAGATGGACATCCAGTTTTGCCAGCACCATTTGTTAAAAAGACTGTGTTTTCCCCATTTAATGGACTTTGGTTCTTTGTCAAAGATCAGCTGACAATAGTTGCATGGATTTACGCCTGGGTTTTAGTTGGTATTTTTAAACGAACATCCATAATCTTATGTATTCCTTTCCTGGCTTGCTCTTTGTCTTTCATACACCTTTTTTTTTTTA